CTCTCCCACTAACTGCGGGTGACGAGTTCAGCACAAAGGCTCTTGTCCATCCCGAGTCCCCTTGTTAGTTTTTCATGAGCATCCCTGGGGAGCGGCTTCGTGAGGAGATCAGCCTGATTGTCCTTGGTGCTAACCCTTTGAGCATTAATTCTCCCACTGAGCGTCATTTCTCGCAGAAAATGGTATTTTAGCTCGATGTGTTTTGTGCGGTCATGCAACTCAGGATTGCGGGTCAACTTGAGCGCAGCATCATTGTCAATCAAAAGTGGAGTTGACGTCACTTCCAGGGCTTCGATGCGAAGGTCGTTGATCATATTTTGAATCCATATGATTTCCTGAGTAGCCTTATAGCCAGCTACATATTCAGCTTCACAGGTTGACATGGCAACAGTCCTTTGTCTTCGAGATGACCACGACACAGGGCTTCCGGCTAGTTTGATCACATAACCCGTTGTGGATCTTCGCGTGTCTGGGCACCCTGCCCAGTCTGCATCGACATAAGCATGCAATTCTCGGTCTGGACAGTCCCTCTTGAAGTGAAGGCCAAGATTAGGCGTGTGTTTCAAGTAAGCATATATATCATCGACTGCTTTCATGTGTTCTTCAGTCGGATTTGCGCAGAACCTGGAGACGACTCCCACTGCTTCGGCAATATCTGGGCGCGTGACCACCATTGCATAATTGAGTGCTCCGACCTTGGATTGATATCGTCGCTGAAAATCAAGGGACTCAGGGTGACCATCATTCTTGGTCATTTTCTGGTTTGTTCTCATAGGTGTCCTTCGTGGATGGATGCCTTGCAGTCCATACCGTTCGAGGATCTGTTGGATGTACGATCCTTGATGCAAATGGACATCGCCATTCGTTTCTTGATGCACATGCATCCCCAAGTAATAGGCACACAGACCAAGATCAGTCATGTTGAAACGCGCCGCCAGTTGGTGCTTCATCGCTATGATTCGATCCTCATTTATGCCAAATATATTGATATCGTCGACATAGACTTCCATGATGAGGTTATCATTGTCCTGAATGAATACCGATGGGTCGAAGTTTGAGACTCTCCAACCACTCTCTTCGAGGAAAGCCCTGAGTTTGAAGTACCACTGTCTTGGTGCCTGCTTTAGTCCGTACAGTGACTTGCATAATTTCAGAACTTGATTTCTTGCTTCGGGGTAACCTTCCGGTGGTTCGACAAAGATCTCATGTTCTAGGTTGCCATTGAGGAAAGCTGTCTTAATGTCCATCTGGTGGCACTTCCATCCATATCGCGCTTGGAGTGCAAAGAGTATCCGGTAGGATGCCGACTTCACCACGGAGGCGTAGGTTTCGTCGAAATCTAGGCCGTATATCTGAGAGAAACCGCGAACGACAAATCTTGCCTTGTGTCGAGCGACTTCCCCGTCGGAGCCAAGTTTTCGTTTGAAGACCCACCGACCAGTCAGTACCTTTCGGTCTGCTGGTCGTTTCACTACTGTCCAAGTCTGATTTTCGATCAGACTATTATACTCTTCCTGCATGGCCTGCTCCCACTGCTCTCGTTCAGCCGAGGCCAGAGCGGACTTTCTGTTGTTTGGTTCGGGGCCAAGCATTATGGCCGCAGTGGATAGCATGCAAATGCCTGCCACGCTGATGTCCTTCATAGCACTTCCCCCTTTATCGATCACTTCTCTCAAGCAAGTGGGCGATAGAGACTTGGAGGTCATCGAGTGGCATCTTTCTTGGTTATCCTGTGGTGAACACGGAGAGCGTTTGGCGCCTTGGTGATAAGGTGTCTCCGCAAGGTTGATCTGAGGTTCCAAGAGCTTAGGATGTATGCAAACCTCGTCATCCTCGGAAGCGAGGTCTCCGTCGATTGAAAGGTCATCGAACATTTGCCAATCGTCCTCGTTTTCACCAACTGTTGTGCCTGCCTCCGTCATTGACGGTGGCGACTGCAAGCGCCGTGGCCTGGTACTAACCCGGTGCGCGCCTCTAAAGAAATATTTCTTGTATCCTCCGTCCTCATTCCATGCGGTGCAGGAAAAACTCTTTCGATTCTTGTTCGCATCATTCTCTCTCGTGACGCACATGCTACATGGAAAGCCATGGTCTGAGTAGAAAACAATATCTCTGTCTGCTAATTCTATACAGAATTTGCAGCATTCGTCTCGGAGGCCCAGTTTTTGGATTGTGTGCCATCGGGAATTAGGCGAGAGATTTTCCTGGATGGGATGGTAGATGACGACATTATCGTTTGTGCGAAAGTTACAACTGGCAGTCCCATTCTTGTAGCAAAGCTGACAAGGTATGCCGACACATTTCCTAGGCCCGGCTGCCTGACAGGTAATACAGCCTGGAAGATTCCGGATGCCCTTAACGAGAGAACATTTCCAGTTGTTCTGTTGGCAAGAACCGCATTTCGTAGTAGCTGTTGCGCCAATGCATTTGTTAATGTGTCTAGTCACGCAGGAGTAGCACTTGTCTTTCAGCCGCTGAGTCTCGGGGTCGAAAGAGCGTATTGCTGGGGCAAAAGAGCAGATGCGTTGCCTTTTTATACAAGAGTCGCATTTCGAAGTTGGATCAGAGCGTTTACAGAGATAGCGTCTCTTGCGGCATGATTCGCATCTGTCCTCGAGTGGCTGTGACGGTCTCTTATCTTCTGGCGCAAATGAGCAGACGCGTTTATCATGTAGACATCGTTTGCATTTTGAGTTTGGTTGGATTGTGGTACACAGAAGGTATCTCTTCTGGCACCTTTCACACTTCTCCTGAGGTGGCTGTTCTTTTCTAATCCTCGTTACCGATGTAGTGAAAGAGCACACTCGTTTTTCTTGTTGGCAGCGATCGCATTTTGAATCCAGGTGAGACCTTCTGCATATTATGTGTCTCCTGCGGCAGTTTTCACACTTGTCCTGGGCTGGCTGACTCTTTCTTCTGTCCTCTGGAACGAAAGAGCAGACGAGCTTTCTTTTGGAACAGTGGTCGCACCTCGAGACCGGGTTGGATCGTCTGCAAAATAGCTTGTTTTTCTGGCACGACTCACATTTCTCGGATTGCGTCTGCTTCATCCGAAGTGATTGTCGGCCCTTTGGTCCTTTAAACGCTGGGGAGCGCGTTGAGGAAACGCATGCAATTCCTTTTCTCTCACACTCAATGCAAGAGCCGTCTAATGGCGCGGATCTTTCGCACTTAGAGTGCGTCGTCTGACACCCGATACACGTAGTAATGACCTTTGGTGGCCGAGTGTCATTTTGATCGTTGCCGTTTTGAGCGTGCAAGTCTGACGTGCACGTTGTTGCAAGCATATGCACCTGTGGTTCTACTTGCCAGGTGTGAAAAGCCTGATCTCCGTGCCATATGTCATGATCAATGCCTGCCACTTCCTCCTGGATAGAGTCGCTGTCTGAGATTGTATTAGACTGTATGTCTTGGTCGTCAGGGATACTTTCGGAGCGTGGAGGGTGGGCTTCGATGCCAGTGACGCCTTCAGAGTGATGCACGGCGTCTTGGCTGTTCTGTGCAAAGTAAGGTGAGACCTTCGCACTACGACGCGTGAAGTAAGGAGAGCGTTCCGATTTAGCTTGTAAAGGATTTGCAAGGTCCGAGCCGCGTGTTTGAGATTGAGAGATCATGTCAAGGGCATCGGGACTCAACTCATCGTCTGAAACGCTGTCGTCGAGGCTTATATGGCCAACTGGGTTTCGTTCAGAAAGAGTTGTTCCTTCGTGAGCGTCTTCTTGCCCTTGACCGTCATCAACGCGAGGGGCAGTAACACGCACGACACGATTCTTGTCTGGATGCCATATCCTTAGGACTGCCTCAGTTTCGAATCCAACAAAATACCCAAGCCATCCCCTTGGCTGGAGGAGGGTTTTCTGTCTGTGTTCCGGTGGATAGGTAACATAGACTCGGCT